GTGCTGGGATTGAAGGTGTATGCCACCATCACCCAGCTCTTAAATATTCCTTTTTAAGCACTTAATTTAAGACAGATGTAGTGGTGTACACAGGACATTCCAGGACAGCCAGGGCTAGACAGTCTCAAAAAAAAAAAAAAAAGCAGCACACCATTTAAGGTTTTTGTTTTGTTTTGTTTGAGACAGAATCTCACAATGTAACTCTAGCTGGCCTGGCCTAGACTCACCACCTAAATGGCCTCAAACTCTCAAAGATCTGCCTGTCTCTATTTATAGAGTGCTGAGATTAAAGACATGCTGCCACTATACCCAGCCCAAACTTCAAATTTCAATAGAGCACACAGTACTACAAAAGTATAGGGAAAGGAACCACCGATAAAGGGTGACAAGGAACACTTCACTGAACTTTTGATTCAGTTGGTGATGAAACACTAACTGCCAAACCTAACTCCCCAGACCTGGTCTTAGAAGCCCCCTTACACTCGATACTCTGTCACTCTACACCACCACCTCACTCCTCAGGCACTGTGCCTCCATCTTTGGCCCTTTAGTCTTTCTTTCTTTCTTTTTTTTTTTTTTTTTTGGTTTTTCGAGACAGGGTTTCTCTGTGTAGCTTTGCGCCTTTCCTGGAACTCACTTGGTAGCCCAGGCTGGCCTCGAACTCACAGAGATTCGCCTGCCTCTGCCTCCCGAGTGCTGGGATTAAAGGCGTGCGCCACCACCGCCCGGCCCTGGTCTTTCTTTCTAATATTTATTTTATGATGCCAGAGAGGTGGCTCCGTGGTCAAGAGCACTGGCTGCTCTTGCAGACGACCAGCACCCACATGGCAGCTCATAACTCTCTCTCCAGTCCCAAAGACTCTGATGTCCTCTTCTGGTCTTTGTAGAAACTACATGCATGGTGCCTAGACATGTAGGCATTAATTTTTTATTTTAAAAAGAACATTTTTAGCAGGTGGTTGAGGGCACAGATCTTTGTCTAGAATAGAGTCATCAAGAAAGAGATGGTAGTTAAAGTGTATGAGTAAGAATATTCAGAAAAAGACTGAAAAGTCTTAAGAAGGAGGAGGACAGTTGTCATCACAATACAGTTTCAAGAAAGCAAGATCAAGACAGGTACTGTAAACTACTTCTCACCTAGGGCAATTATGTGACCTTGTTCACTTAGTAGATATACTTAGCATTGTAGAAGCCATATTGGAGGGGGCTGGAGAGGCTCAGCGCTTAAGAGCACTAGCTGCTCTTCCAGAGGACCCGAGTTTAAATCCCAGCACCCACATGGTGGCTCACAACCATCTATAGAGGGATCTGATGCCCTCTTCTGACACAAATGTGTACATGCAGATAGAGCACTCATATACATAAAATAAATAAATCAATCTTTTAAAAAGCCATATTGGAGTAAAAAGCTGGGTGCAGTAGCATACAACTGTACAATCCCAGCACTGGGGAAGTTAAGGGAGGAAGATGGCCAAGTCTGAGGCTAGCTCAAGCAACATAACAAAACCATCTCAAAACCAAAACAAAATAAAACTAAAAGCTCTAAGTGAAACATGAATGGGAAATAAAAAGATGGAGATTTCAAAGAAATCTGGCAATAATAAAAAAGAATGAAAAATCGAAATTCTATGGAAATAGTCTTGTATATAATATGGTATTATATACAGGAAAACTCCACCTACATGAAGGACTTAAATGAAAAATTAAAATAAGAGTGAGTATGGCTGTGTGTACCTGTGGACTCAGCTATTGGAAACAGAAGCAGAAGGACCACACAAGTCAGGAGTTGCAGGCTAGTCCAGGCAATGCAGTAAGAACCTCCCCTCATCTCAAAAAAGAAAAAAAGAAACAAACCAGTTTTAAAACATAAGCCCTAAAATAAAAATCACTGCAAACTTCATGTCAGATGGCTTATACCTCCCAGTCTAGCCAAACATATCCAAGCTTATAATCCATGATACTGTCTTTTTGTTGTTGCTTGCTTTTGAGAGAGTCTCACTATGTAATCCTGGCTGGCCTGGAACTCTCTTTGTAGAATTCAAAGAAACCCGTGATCTGACGGTCTCTGCTTTCCTGAGTGCTAGAAATAAAGGTGTGAGTCACCACAATTGGCTCACAAGGCTTTCCTTAATGAGGCAGTTCAACTCTCATGTCCCACTTAAAACACACACACACACACACACACACGCACGCACGCACGCACGCACGCACGCACGCACACGCTCGCAACTGGAGAGATGGCTCAGAAGAGCGCCGACTGTTCTTCCAGAGGTCCTGAGTTCAATTCCCAGCAACCACATGGTGGCTCACAACCACCTGTAATGAGATCTGGTGCCCTCTTCTGTATACATAATAAATAAATAAATATAAAAAAATCAAAAACAAAAACCAGGTGGCACATGCCTTTAATCCCAGCACTCGGGAGGCAGAGGCAGGTGGATCTCTGTGAGTTCGAGGCCAGCCTGGTCTACAGAGCGAGATCCAGGACA